GATCATTCTTGGACCTTATCCCATCTTATTTTCCTGTTTTAGTCTAATTTCATGTTATTTCCTTTTTCAGGCACTTATCCCAAAATAAGTCAATTAGCTAAATTAGAGCATAAAAGATGCAATCTCAAGCTTAGTGGAAGAAATAAGCAAAGTGGTAAAAAACAGCAATCTTCGATCGATCAGACCAAGCTCAGATCGATCTCACAGTGATCATTCCAACCATGCCAAGATGAGTCGAGCCTCATGTCCTAATCCTCAGGAAATTTCCATCTTCGATCAATCCAACATTACTTCGATCGATCAAAATTTTTTGATCTTGTGATACCCCTCGGATTCAAGACACGGGTTGATTAGGCCCAGGCCCAAACCCGAGGGAATATTAAATAATTAAAGTATTTTAAATCGAACACAAAATAGAAATTTAAGTAAAGAAAACCAAAAGAAATATAAATAAAATCCTCCAATGATAAATAATATCAATTCAATCCTCCAACACCTTCAAGGTTACAACTTGGGAATCCAAATAGTGGACCCCTAAAGAAAATCTCAACTAAACTGGAACTGAAAACATCAAACTAGAATCATCGAGAGAAGTCCTACATAAGTAGATGAATGAGAGACTGTCCTCGATAAGCACAATCAAGCTCTAAGGCTGGAACAGTCCTGCACCTGAAAAGAATAATAGAAGAGTAGGTCAAGCCCACGAGTAAGTTCTAATCTAACTGCAATCCATACAGTGATCCGATAGGCAGATACACCGTAGACACCTCACAATATCTATCTAGTCCATACATATAAATATATCCACACTAAGGGTCATTCACTAGTCTATAATAGGGGTCTCAACCTGAATAGAAGGCAATATGCGTAAATGCACCCAAAGGTTAGCATGAGTACATAGACCTAACAGGGTACACCTCAACCTATTATAACTAGCTACGCATCCACTACATATACGCACCCTAACCAACGAGTCTGAGACTCAAGCTCATCTCGTGGTACCATAAACATATATATAAAGTCCGTCCCAAACCAGGGTATGTAGTTCAATTATTTATCGACCTGACATACAATAACAAATTAGTTAGTCACTAACTTATTCAGTTGATATGACTTAACCATCATCCATTAATCCCGGAAGCCACTCAACTTAGTTACAGTTGATTTGACTTAAACACAATTAGGATTCAATATTTATAAATCCATTCATTTAATCCGTTAGGTTAGGTTTAGGCGTTTTGAGCTAAACCGTCCCTAGTATGTCACCGTCCCTAGTATGTCACCGTCCCATTCCGGTGCATGCAATCCTCCATATCCTTGTAAATTACATCATATATACAACAGTTTAGTAATTTACAATACAAAACTAATATCCAAATAATTGCAGAAAGAAGATTAACAATCTAGTAATTAAAATCCAGTATTAATCCATATAATTGCATCAAAGAATTTAATATTCTAACAATTAACATCCAAACATGCCTAGTTCAAATTTAATATAACAATGACTCTATCATGTATTTAAAACAAGTTTTATTAGCATACTGGATCACCTTAAATTGCTAAAATTTAATTAAGCAATTAATCCGTCCTCCATCCATTATCAGCATAGAAAATTTATAAATTTTATATTGTTTGTTCCATGAATCAACTTAAATCAATTCAAGGTTTTAATCACACCCTAAATTAACTATTTAATCCCTCTGTGAAGTTTCATTAAATTTCTGAAATTTAATCAAACCATTTAGTTCCTTTCTTCTGTTCATAGCATGCACTGTTGTATATTTTTACACAGCTTCATCCTTTATCAGAGAGTCTTAAACCATGCTACAATAAGTTTAATATTACTTAGAGTTAACCCTTAAAGCCCTATATGAAGTCCCTACAACCCATCAGAACCATCCAAATACTCAAACAGTGTCAAAAATATCACATAGTGCCGTAGGAACCCATTTCAAAACGCACAAAAGTTTGGAGCCTGCTCTTAAAATGAAAGAGCAGGCTCTTTCCCACTTAGAGCCGGCTCCAAACTCCCTTGGAGCTGGCTCTTGCTAAAGGAGAGCCGGCTCTTGGCTTTCCAGAGCCGGCTCTCTCCCTTGAGAGCCTCCAGTTCAGTCTCTGCTCCGTTTCAATCTGTGTGCTCATTCTCTGATCAATTCCTACCCCTCTGTTGGTTTCTTAAACTAATCTTAAGGGTTTAATACCACTCTAATAGAATCCCTAAGGTTTGATTACAGCAATTTGAATCAATTACAAAGATTAAACTTGCTACTGAACTTAACATGCGTTAGTACCAACTGAAACCACATGCACGAATTGAAACGGAACAAATTGCAACACATATTTAAAATAGAATAATAACAACCCTATGAGTTTTATATAACCCCAGTAGTGTTCCTATATTTTTTTTAACAGTAGTTGCAATCAAATACAGAGACTAAAGTTACAACAGAAACAACATGCTTAAAGGACAGAAAACTGGAGCGAGACTTGCATGCACTGTAACAGATTTGTTTTCAACACCACAGATCATCAATATAGCATATGTTAAATAGGTAAATTCCAGTTACTAATTGATTAAACCCTAGAGATTATCTAGGTTCACAGAATATGAGCCAAAGAGAAGGAGAAAGAGAAAAACTTGCCTGTGATTTCAGTTATGAAATCCCGGCGTCGTCTCTAAGTTTCCGGCAACTACTAACTTCCTTCAAGCCTCCTATGGGTGTGATTTAATCCACCACAACCCTCCTTTGATCCACTCTATTCTTGTCCTTGGTAGCTCTTACGATTGCTTCTGTTCTGTCAACTCGCTCTCTGTTACGTTCTATTTTCACTGTGCCGTGAATAGGGTTCTCCAAACCCTTAGTGAAACTCATACATGTATATATATAGGCCCTTAGAAAACCCTAATTAAACTAGAGCCAAGGTAGAAACCCTAATTAAACTAGAGTAAGCCTATAAACTTAAGTCACACACACGTTAGTTAATTATATGACGGCTCTAAGAAAAACCCTAACTGAAAAATATATTTAAAACTTTAGTTAACGTATTTACATAATTAATCTATTCAAATGTAACAATTACCAAATAATTCAATTTTAAACCAAACAATTTATCAAGTAGTTCAATGTAACAACAATAATTAATTAAATGACAAAATAAAATGCAATTAAATCAAATAAGTCACAAAATGCAAATAATCTCAAATAAATCAACTAAAGCAAATATTAAACACAAATAAACAATTAACAACCAACAAAAATACACTCAAATAATTTATTAAAATACCAGGATTATCCTTTTTTAAAATTAGGGGTATTACAGATCTTATCCCTGCCTACCACTTTTGTCCTTTTCCCAAAATATCCGAAAAATATCTCAGATTTGTCATTATTCCAAAAAGGCGCCGCCATAGTTCGATCGATCTGACCACCCTTGTGATCGATCGAACCTCCTCAAGTGCAAGAAAAATAGAGTTCCAACCAATTAAAAGGTGTGCTCGTGGTGCAATCATTTGGAGGTCCTAGTACACAAGGTTTGACCGTTGGGTGTGACACTTGAGCTATCTATATTAGGATTTTAGGCCATTTTATACATAGACAATCTTACAAAAAGGAACCATATACACAAGAGAGGTTGGAGGAGTCTAGAGATTAGAGAGACACACACCATTTGGAAGTTCTTTCACTCATCTAGGGTTTCCATCAAGGAGAAGAAGATCATTCCTACCATGGAGATGGCCCTTGAGGGTTAGATGACTACATCTATGAGTGCCTAAACCATTCTCTTGGGGCTAAAGATAGCCCTAAGCATGCCTCCATTAGAAGAAATCAAGTTTTTAGTGACAGTCAAATCTGTTCCTAAAAGCCCTAAGATTGTCCTTAATAATCAAATTCGACCGTCCCTAATAGTTGTGTCATAAAAGAGTTTTAGGGACGGTAAAAATTGACCGTCCCTAGAAAAAATCAACCTTTAGGGACTGACTTACTGTCCCGAAAAGTCCCGTCCCACTTTGATTTATTAAGGACGGACTTACTGTCCCAAATAAAACCGTCCCCCTTTGATTTATTAGGGGCGGTATTTATTGTCCCTAATAGTTGATATATTAGGGACAGCCTTGTGGTTCGTCCCTAATACAATATTTATTAGGCACAATTTGTAATGTCCCTAATAGGTTTTATTATTATTAATAATATTAAATTTGTGACAGTTATAAACTGTCCCTAATACTTGATTATTATTATTATTATTTTTTTTTTGTTTTTGCTCTGCTGGATTTGTGTTCTAAAAAAACTATCAAACCATATCCACCTTATATATCAAAACATGGAAACTAAAAGTACATTCATCCACAAAATCATTTTAGAAAGAAAAAAATAAATTATCACCACAATACGATGCCAACAAACGAGCTCTTAATCTATTGATGAAACTACAAATTCTCCAGTTTTGTAAAGAAGAGCTAAAAGTATCCACTAGCTGCTTTAACATCAAATGGTTCCAAACATCCTAAAAAATTAAAACATCATTTTAAACTGAATGCAATCATGAAAATGTAGGCAAAAAAATACACAACCAAAATAGTTAGAAATCAACTAGCTAACCATCAAAGAGCTCCAAAATATATCTACCAAAATAATTATCTTTATAGTTCATTTAGGTGATTGTTTTGGTGGTGCTGGTGGGTGCTGAAATTGCCACCATGTTGGCGGTTACTGATACCAGCTTGGTGGGGCATGCTGCTGTTGGTGGAATCGTGGTGGCAGCTGTTGGTTCTATTGTTGCAGCTTAAGGAGGTGTTGTTGCTGCTTAAGGAGGTGCTGAAATGTATCCAACTTCTCCTCCAAATTTGTAACTTTCTCCCTAAGTTGTGCATTATCTTCTTCAACATTTTTTACCCTTTTTCTAGAAGCCTCTTCAAAAGATGAGGGTGCACGTTGATGGCTTGGAGCTACAAAACCATTCAAACCCACACCGATATCCCTTTCTGATACCTAATCGGTTTTCCGCTATCTCAACATCATTTATGCTAGGACTGGTACCATCAGAATTGTGAAAAACTTATGAAAACTTCTGTTTCATTTCATCCTAAAATTAAGATTAATGTAGTGTTAAACATCAGTAGCTCAATAAAAAATTAACTATAAACTAAGTCAAGATGATTTTTTATTTTTTATTTTTTATTTTTTTTTATGTATGTATATAGTGAATAGGAATGAGTGAGAGATTCGTTCTTCACTTCCATTTTTTGAAGAAAAAGAGCTAGCTAAAGCTATTTCAGTGAAAGTCAAGAAAGGATCTTACTTATAGAGGTTGATCTGAGTCACCACAAAGCCAAGATTAACTGGCAGTGTGTTTGTCAACCTAAAAAGGTTGGGGGGTTAGGTATACCTAATATTGAGCTATGGAACAAGGCAACATTCCTTAAGCTAACTTGGAAATTATTTAGTGAGAGGAACAAGAACCTGTGGGTGGACTGGATTCACTACAGTCTGTTAAAGGATATATAAAAGCTTTTGGGTGGTTAATGTACCTCATCAAGCCTCGTGGACAAGGAGGAAAATGTTATAGCTAAGAGAAATAGCTAGGCCTTCCATAAAAAAACATTAGATAGGCAATGGCAACTCAACCTATTTTTGGCATGATCATTGAACACACCTCAGCCCTCTTGTAAGCATAACCAGTTCAAGAATAATTATGATTCTAGTTCTCAAAGCGGTGTATAAAATGCTCTACTAGGTATTTGGAAGTGGGCCTGAAGGTAGTCACTTGTAAGTCGTAAGGCACTGGTAACAGGAATAATTAAGGAAGTGAGTTTGCTATATGTTTTTGATGTTATCAATCAGTTTGTTTGAGCTTTTAGTACAAATTTGAACCTACCGAGCAATAAACTAAGCTTGAAAGATGTGCATAATCATAGCAAAATGAGTTACTTCATTCTTAAAGAAAAAATACAGTTCGAATGTCAGAAAAATCTTTATTATCATGATGGTAGCGGTTATGTAATACTCCCAATCAATAAAAATTCCATCTTTCCCTTGATGGTAGGAAATAATGAATTAACATTGAAAGGGATACTATTTTCCCGGAATCCCTAGGGTACCATAGGGTACAATATTAAGGTTCTAGAGTGTATGATGCCTCTTTGGAAAAATCAAAATTAATGTTCTTTTGCAAAGACATATTTGTGAACACAGGGCTACAAATTGATAGTTTATAGTGTTAGTTGTCAGTGCAAGATCAAATCAAGCAATACAATTCAAGTCTCTTTTTTAAGATTCCTATAATTTTGTTTCAAAAAATTCTCTTCTTGTTCGACTGTATAAAATTGATCCTTTGAAAATATTAGATCGTCTTTCATTCCCGCACGTGTATTTTTGATTCCTCAACAGGGTAAATCTTAACTGCTATAGCATAGGATCTTACTTAAGACAACATAGGACAGAATTATCTTGAGTTGATTTAAACAATAAAATCAACAATCAACCACCACTCTCCCAACGGATTAACCACATCTCTTTCTGTTTTCCATTTATTTACTCCTACTACAACACCCATTCACCAAAGGCGTACACTGGTAGTATTCCGAGGCCACAATAGTATAGTATCATCAATGCGTCAACTTTTTTCTTCTCCACTTTCCTTCTAAACAAACAACCCCCACTATGTATAAACACAACTCATATGAGGAGCCACTCATTAAGAGCAGAAGACAAGCTACTACTGTAATTATGGCCATTTCAATTATATTTGCTAACTAGAAATAGCTGTTGATCATATAATTGGCTAGAGTAGAGTATATAGTATGTTGAGAACATGGCAATGTAATAGGAGTTATATATAGAAGAGGGTGACTGGGATATGTTTGGCACAAGCAGCTCACCTAACTTGTTAGGCCAGTGTATGGTAAAACTTTTCTATGTCTAGAAATTAAAGAAAAAGTTAGCATATAGATATGGATAAAAAAAAACTTACATAGTTCTGCTTAGCTATCTCATTTACCCATCCAGTTTCTTCCCTAAAATGTGTATCCTTTTACATACATACTAGTAGCAGGACCCTCCTCAGGACTTTCAACTTCCTTATCTTCTTCATTTTGCCTTTTTTGCCTTTCTTGACTTTCTTTCAGCTGCAACACAAAATATGATTTAGATGGATGATAAATTAAAATTTTATAATTATTATTTTAAATATTACGTACATAAACATCATAGCATCTGGCGAAAGACATCGATCCAAAAACATGTGGAATGTCATTCTTTGAACGGTTGCCTTTATTTCTGTCACTTATTTTCTACATGGCAATTCAAACAATAATACAAGTTAAGAAACCTAAATAGCTAGTCAATCAATGCATTATAATCAATGATTTCAAGTAAATAATTTAAAGCACGTGGTTAAAAATCCGAACTTGAAATTCTGGTGAAGTCCACTAATCGCACATTTCTCCCCAAACATCAATATCAATAATACCATAAGGATGCAAGCGTGCATTCTCAATCGGAAGATGCTTGTCAAAATGATTCTTCAATTTATATCTATATTTCCTTAAACATTTAGACACTTCCTTAGTTACTTGCTTGAATTCAGTTTCATTGTCATGCGCATCCACTCCAAAGGTCACCTTTATAATGAACATTTAATTTAAGTTAAAAAGAGCCCAATAATTCACACAACAAATAGCACAGAAAATATGAAAAATAAATAACAAGTCAACAAAACAAGTATTAAAAATGATATAGTATTCCCTTTATGATATAGAAAATAAAAGAACTCATTACCTAAAAATGTTCATAGAAGACCTGTCTCTCATAATCTGGAATTTCCCTCCAAGTTTTATATTTTAATAGTGCTTCTTTATCTCTCGTATGGATGCCAACCTCAGCCGTCCATAAATTGTGATTTTTGCCAACGGGTTTAATATAACCCGTCCCAAACTCTACTGGAATTAGAACATCCTTTCACTAGAGTTCCTTAGCTTTGTGTAGGGCTATATTCTTTGCTTTTCCATGCCCTTTTCGTTTTGGGCCTGAAAAATAAAATTATCAACTTAATTAAAACATAGTCATTCTACAAAAATGCTTGTAGTTAATTAATGATGAAGCATAAGTATCACCTCCACTTGGTTGTGGCCTCGTCTTCAAAGTATTACCAGCACCTTCCATAATAGGCTGTTGACTTATTAAATTACAACCTTCAGCTTCTCCACTCGGTTGTGTGGTAGTTGAACTTGTAGATGGTGTCTCAATTCGAGTTTGAGCCACGCTGGACCTTAATAGTCTATGCATTGGTGCCTTAGAAGTGTCTATAATTCTGTTTACAAGCTGATATGAAGAATCAAGTAATATTAAATAAAAATAAACAAGTATATGCGGAATACATTCTGAGTCATCATTTGATATTGGCTACTTTAGAACATAAATAGAAAATAAATCAAGTGATCTAAGATTAGTTTAAATAAATCAGAAAAGTAATGAAGCACACAACCAAACAAGGCTAATTAATTTCCAGCACTCAACAGATACTAAAAGGTAAATATATTGAAAAAGAGAAGGAACTCAATTCTACATAAAGTTCACATCATGTATTAATCATGATTCCAAAAAAATATGACACATGCCCAACAATACAAAGCTTCATATGTCATCCAAATAAGTATCATTGTCGGACAACAATTTTAGTTCCTAATCTGAACTATATTGAATGTAAACTCCATCATCATCCTCGTCAACCCAAAAGTCATCATTAATTGTTGTTTCACCGCTATATTTTTCAATCACTTTAGCATCAAGGGCTTCACCCGCTAAATCATCCTTGTTCAAAGAGAGTGGATCCATGTCCAAGTCCACTTTAACAATCCTATCCACGATGCTTGGTTCGTTCTCTTGGTAGGCTGTAGTGTTAAACATTTCATCATCTACTACTACTTTTCCCTCTTTTTCAAGTACATCAAATGAACTTCTATTTGTTATATCTTAAACTACCTCCCATGTCCCTTAAAATTTGATGTCTTCAACGCAGAAGCATTGTTTTACTTGATTTGCTAACACAATTGGCTCATTTTTGTGAGCTCTACTGGCTATATTTATGCTCTTAAAATAGATATCTTTATGTATACCAATCCTAACATCAAACCAATCACATTTGGAAAGGAATATTTGTCTACCCAGTGGATATCGTAACTCAATGATATCTGTTAGTTTACCATAGTAATCTTCGCATTCTCCTTTCACTAACACACCATAATTTTGTGTTCGTCGATTTTGTTCCCTTTCCTTAGTATAGAACCTAATCCCATCTACAATACAAGTAGAATATCAACTTACTAGAGATCCAGGTCCACAGGCTAATGAATACAGATCATCACAAGTTATTTCCTTTTGATGATGACGCATTTTCAAGATCTACTGAAAAAATTGTAGTGTTAAACAAATGATAACACATCATTTTCATTAAATAAAAGAATTTGATTAATTAAGTCCAATATATACATGATGGACTTACTTGTGTTTCAAACCATCTAGAAAATTCTTTTGCATGTCTTTGATGAACATTTTGTGGATCTCGTCTCTTAAGTTCCACCTTGTGTTTTCTAAACAATTAGATGTTGTGAAGATAAAATTGTGTACATGTATTAAGCAATCGACTATATATTCACATAAGCTGACAAGATATGACATGCAATAAGTTACTTACTCTTCGTATGACTCAACTACTTCAGAATTTTGTAACACGTACAATCAGGCCATTTTCATGTCCTTACGGGACATTATCTCCAAACTTTGCACCCCTAGAAGTCGAACTACTTGCTTTAGATCTAAAATAGTGGTCCAGTTATTGTTGCAATCCCCCTCACTATATCTTTCTTCTTGATTGAACCAAGTCTCAATCCCTCCAAGAAATTTTGAACAAAATGTCAAGCATTCATTGTCTAAGTAAGCTTCAGCAATGGACCCTTCAGGACGTGTTTTGTTACGCACGTACAGTTTGAGGGTATGCAAAAATCTATATAACCATTAAAATTATTACAAATATTTAAATCTAACAGACCATTAGAATTTTTCATAAAAATAATGTTTATGTATTAAAAAAAATTACAGTACCTTTCAATGGGGTACATTAACCGATATTGTGCGGGGCCAACAATAATGGCTTCACGCAACAAATGCAAAGCCAAGTGCACTATAATGTCAAAAAAAAATGGAGGAAATATTATCTCCAACTTGCATAGTATAATAGCAATGTCCCTTTCCATTGCCTCTAAGACATCCACTTTAACAGTTCAACAACACAATTCCTTAAAGAATAAACCAAGCTCTGCTATTGCATTACAGATATCTGAATCTAAGAATCCTCGTATAGCTATGGGGAGGAGGCGCTATAAGAGAACATGTTAATCATGACTTTTCAATCCAAATATCTTATAGTTATTAACATTCACACACCGACTTATGTTCGAGGCATAGCCATCTAGGAACTTAACTAATTTTAGCCATTCACACAATTGCTTTTTATCATTCTTTGACAATGTGTAGCGTATTCGTGGCATCTCAAATTTTTCACCATTATGCTTGAGGTGTAGTTCTTTCCTAATCTTCATTAATTCTAAATCCAACCGACTTTTGAATGTATCCTTTATTTTTCCTTCAATGTCCAATAATGTCCCCAACACATTATCGCATATGTTTTTCTCTATATGCATAACGTCTAGGTTGTGCTGCAGTAAAAGGGTCTGCTAATAGGGTAGTTCAAAGAAAATACTCTTCTTTGTCCAGTTAAGTTCAAATTTTTCACGAGTTCGCTTCTTGTTAATTAGTCCCTTTCCGAAACTAACCTCGGGTATGCGGTTAAGTTGTTCCAGAATATCATCACTTGTCAACTATTTTAGTGGCCCTTTATCTTGCTTCTCACCATTAAACTACTTGTACTGCTTCCTAAAAATGTGATCCAATGACAAAAACATACGACTTTCCAAATAACATATCTTCCGTCCGTTTTTCAAATAACAAGAACATGTTTCTTCGTTACAATTTGGACATGCTAGATAACCCTTCGTCATCCATCTAGAAGTCATCGCATAGGCGGGAAAGTCAGTAATGGTCCAAATCATTGCCGCATGCATTTTAAAGTTACATTTACTGTAGGTATCATAAGTCATCACACCATCCCTCCATAATTCTTTTAACTCTTCAACCAAAGGCCGTAGGAACACATCAATATCATTACCAGGCAAGGTTGGACCAGGAATAACAATGACATGAACACATATGGTTCCTTCATACATATCCAAGGTGGCAAATTGTAAGGCATAATCATCACAGGCCACATACTATAGGAATTGCTCATGTTACCAAATGGATTGAATCCATCAGTTGTTAATCCAACACAAACATTATGAGGATCAGCAACAAACTAACGGTTGACCTTGAATATAACGCTTTTGATGATCATAATTCATTAATGATGTTCTATACATTCTAATGTCTATCTTGAGCAAAATTATAGAACTAAGCATTTATCAAGTCAAAACATTACATGTAAAAGCACAAATGAGAAGGAACATCATGAAGATAGGGGAAAAGGACAAAAAGAATCAAGATCTTATCAAATGGGGTAGCTAAGATGGTGAGCTTTTAGGAACCATTGTTAAAGCATGTATGACCATTTTGAAGCTCATATCTAGGGTCATACACTAATCACTGGCATGGTAATCAAGAAACATAGAGAATGAAAATCATTTATGAACTCAAAACATGCTCCTTGAAAGATAAGTTCCATTTCAGTTGACCGTAATGGAAAGACAACTTGAAATAATCGACCGATTCTAACAAAGAGTTTGGATCAAAGCTTCTAGTTATTTCGGCCTACCGAAATAAAAGACCAATTCATTTCAGTCTACCGAAATTAATTAATGAAAAATTATCGCTAGTTATTTCAGACGACTAAAATAAAAGGAGTAAATGAATCAGAAGAACTGATTCTAACAGAGAGTTTTGGAACAAAGGAGGAAGGTATTTCGGACGACCGAAACAAAAGGTAAATCATTTCGGTTTACCAAAATAAAGAGTGATAGCCATCCTTAAACTATTTCGGATAACCGAAAGACAATAGTGTTTCATTTTGGTCAACCAAACCTGCGCAGATTCAAATTTTGAACAGCTATTTTAACTCGAACTGTGTGCCTAACAGCTAAAATACACATCAGATACATCTGAAACTCTATATAATGACTTGTGGTCTTCATAAAAAGGGATTGCAACTATTGTGAATCATATCCTTGCAATAATAAAGCCTTTGTATTATCATTCACACACTTCATATCCTTAAAGAGTATTGAGCTTCAATCTATTCATACATAGAGCTAAAATTTGTACTATAGATCTAAGAGAGAGATTATATTATACTTCATTTATCTTCTTCAAATCTTGTAAGGGCTGGTGTGGCCCAAGGAGGACTAAGAGAAGGTGTTTCTCTTAGCACTTTGAAGCAAGGAGGTACTTCTTATAAAAGGTTTTCTCTCGACCCGTAAGGATAAGCCATAGTGGATTGGAAAGTCTCAAGAGGGGTCTTGAGACGAGGAGTAGGTGTTTTTGAACCTCGCTAAAATCGCTGAGTACTTATTTGCAATCTTTATCTCTATCTCTTACATTTATTACTTAAAGTCTAGCGTGATGGATTTCTTGATAAATGTTGTTAGTTGAGGCTTAAAATTCAGATTGTTTTATTTAAATAATTGTTAAGAAAGTTAGCTTAGTACTTTCATATTAATTGAAATAAAAATTAACATTGTTTGCATTGACTCTATTCATCCCTCATCTAAAGTCATTACTTGGGTAACAATTGGTATCAGAGCCTAATCTCTATTGAAAAGGCTTAAGTGTATTAGAGAACGATCATGGCAAATGTAAATGGTCACTTTCATCAAGAAGGTTAATCTAATTCTAGACCTCCTTGGTTCGACGGAACAAATTATGGCTATTGAAAAAATAGAATGATAGATTTTCTTCAATCCATAGATTATCAAATTTGGTTGGTCATAGTCAATGGACCATTTGTTCCGATGAAAGTAGTTGACACAAGAAAAGTTCCTAAAACTGAAGAAGAATGGGACACTGAGGATTATAAACTCATTTCCCTAAATGCTAAAGCCAAGGTAAATCTGAATTATGCCATAAGTCCTAGTGAGTACAATAGAGTCTCTACATGTACCACAACTAAAGAAATCTGGGATAAACTTCAGATTACCTATGAAGGAACATCACAAGTTAAGGAATTTAAAATTGATATTCTTATGCATCAATATGAATTGTTCCGCATGAATGAAAATGAGTCCATTTGTGAAATATTTGTGAGACTTACTGACATTATAAATGGCTTGAAGCATTATGGTAGGACTATTACTAATTCTGATCTTGCAAGGAAAATTCTAAGAAGCTTACCTGAAAAATGGGATGCAAAAGCTACGGCAATTAAGGAGGCACACAATCTCAACACACTTGAGTTGGATGAACTACTTGGCTTTCTTCTTATATGTGAAATCAACCTAAAAGATAGAGAAGGAAATCATCATCGAAAGAAAGAAATTGCTCTCAAGTCCTCTCAAATAGAAAAGGAGGTTGTCGGCAATGAAAGTGAGAATGATGATCTTGCTCTCATTACACAATCCTTCAAAAGATTTCTTCATAGGAAGAAATTCAACAAGGGAAGATTCAAAAAGGGTGGATCATCAAATAAACAAACCAAATGAGACACCCCTTGTGACGACCCTGGATTTTTCAACCCAATGTGTCCTGTAATGACCCGAAATGGATCCCAGAATGCGAAAGCAAAACAAGGACATGTCCTTAGAGATGTACGTCATCCCTAAGGCATCAGAATGGCCCTTCAAGGAGTTTTGAGGCTCAATGGAAGCAAAACGAAGACAAGGGTATCAAAACCCTACCAAAAGAAGGACTAAGGGTAAAATGGTCACTTTACCCTAAGAGGAAGGAATTTAACTTCTAATAAGTCAAATGAGGTCAAAAATATCCAAAAACATCCTTTAGTAACTTCACATGAATTCCCAAGGCTAAAGGAAGGGAAAACCCAAATGAACCCTATCCCGGTTCGAACCAAATCTAACACCCTCTCACTAAAACAAGAAAATCTTAAGCTAGGAAAATAATCTAAAACTCAAATTGGTACCATTAGAAATTTTATTTTGATGCGGTCAGTTTAGACTCAAGAATGGACCAATTCGGAGTTAAAACAAAGAAGTTACGGCAGTTCGAAGTCAGAAGTCCAAAACTGAACCTGTAGAAAATCCCTGAAGGACTTGAACCGGTTCAACATTCTTGAACAGGTTCAACATGGATAGAACATCCATGCTGGACCAATTTTCACACCTTTAACTGGTTTAACATTCTTAAACCGGTTCAACCTGAACAGAAACAATAAAATGCAACAGAAACAGTAGAAAAATAGAAAAATGAGTTTGTAACACGGTTTTCGAGACCAAGATGGCATTTTTTAGAAAATGTCATGAAGAAACTCCCCCTAAAATCACATTTTCTATGTAACAGAGTCAAGAACGGAATTTATTTCCTAAAGAAAATCCCCAAAATGCCCTTAAGCAAGATTTTGCAAGAAAAATGTGAAATGAGTCCATAGGAGGCTCATTTCACCAACGAAAGAGTTTCAATGAAAATGGTCATGCACACAAATGTAAATAGTGATTTTCAGTGCGCGGGAATGGTCCGTAGCTCCCAAAAATGGCCGAGTTAAAATCCGACCCCCCAACGGCCAAAAAGGCGAAAATGAACTTGAAATGGAAATTTTGATATCCAAAATTATAAAATGGAGTCAAATGACCATTTGGCCCTTGACCATACTTCATACATGATTAATGAGACCCTATGAAAGAATGAAAACAGAATTCTCACACCCGATGCAAACATGGTGAGACAATGACTTGTGATTTTTTAATATTTTCATAATATTTCATGAAGTCAAATTTTGTATTGGAAACAAAATACATGTCATTGG